AGCACAGCTCTTGCTGGGATGGTTTGTATTTTTTAGGGATCCCAACTCTCAGTTTGGCATGGAAGTGCAACAATCAGATCTGTGGATGCTTGGCTTCTGCTGTTGTCAAGGGGGGCCTGACACATTGCAGAAATATTATCTGGCACCTGACCTACTAAAAACTGACATAAACAAGAGGAATTGCAGATAAGAAAAGCTGGCCATCTGGCCCAGTAATAGGGATCAGCTCATGGCAGAGACCTCAGGTTTTGGAATTTGAGGATATATGTACATTCCCTGTCAGCATGCCTGTATGTTACAGGAGATCTCTATGGCTCCTTGGGAAGCTTATATTGGCTTCCTCAGATTCAAGCAGGATGTTCATCACAGCACCACAAAGGCCCTCTCCTGCCAGAGAGGATTCATCAGCAGAGGAGCTGGTCCTGAGCTGGCAACTTTTCTGCATGGTGTTAGGCTGGAGTGTAGAAAAGCTTTTCACACAAAGGTTTCATCTTGAGTGCTGCTATAGGGTCAAAAGTGTAAAGGACCACTTGTGTGAGCACCATTACTCCCACCACTGCTATGGCCCAGGTGAGACTGTGACAGCCCATGACATTTCCATGACATTTTCCAAGAGCTTACCTTTGCTTCCCTCTTTCATCCTTTTGTAGAAAGATGACTCTATGGCTTTCACCAAATGACTTCATCCAGCTGATTTTATGTTCGAAAATAAATGGTTTTTCCCACTGACACTGAGAAGAAGTGTAGATAGGCCAAAAGGAGTAATTTAATATTGTAATTGTACAGGAATAGTTGTGTCTTTGTCTCATGGTGCAGGCACTAGAAGGCAGATGGTCTCTCTTACATCAGCTATCCAGGAACCTAAAAATTTGCAGCTTTGAAACATATAGAAAACTTTGTTCCAGGAAGACCTCTCCGTGGAGAAGAGTTTGGAGCAGACAGAAAATTCAGCTTTCTCTTTTAAAGCACAAGCACGGCAGACAATTCTGCACCCCAAAGAGTACATTACTTATTTTTCTTCTCTCCTTGGTGTACAAAGAGGTGAATTTTCCTGAACAGTTTAATTCAGCCAAGTAATTAGGGGACTAATGAAAATACTCTATAGATTTGGAATTAGGTGTTTCTTGAAGGAATCTTCATCATGAGAATCTAAGAAAAGAAACAAGCCAAACTACAGCCTTATATTGCCACAGCTTCTAGTTGTGTTTAAGCAATGGCTCAGTTCTACACAGAACATGTGTAAATGTGGTCTCTCTTGGAAGTATTTCTATTATTGCAAAGTAGTTATTATTCAGGTTTAATAAAGTGGGGGTTTTTAAGGCACTATAAAATCCAAATCTGATTCTTCCTTTTCTCCTTAGACTTCTTTTTTTTTTTTTTTTCTGTCTGAAATACCACTTGCATGAAAAACAAACAAGTTATTTTTCTACCTAGAAAGGGAAAAAACTGAAAATGACAGTACATAAAGCTCCCGAAAGGAGTGTCTCCTCTGAAGTCAGAATCATCCTATTGGGTGGAAAACAGCTTGAGCAGAAACTCTGGATTCAAATCCTGCAGATAAGAGCAAACTTCACCTCTGCAGAAGTAAGAATTTATTAATCTATATTTTGAAGTATCAGGTTCCCAGTGTTGTGGATGCCAGCCTGGTCAGGGAGAGAGAAATGGCAATCGTTTCTCACTATGCTTGTGAGAATTTTAGGGAGTTGCAGGAATGTTAGTCTAAACAATCTGCAGGTGGTATTTTTCCACCTTGCTTTTCTGCTTCTCTCAAGGATGGTGTGTGAGAAAGACGTTTTTATTACCTAACCAATCAAATAGAATGTATCATATCAGTCTATTTAAGATGAAGTTTACTTTCCATTAAAGCCTTCTTTTCTTCTTTTTTACGCTGTGTCTCTCGTCTGTTCTTGTGTCATTCTTGGTGCAATGGTGACACAGTTTACAGACAGAAGGTGTGAAGGAGGTCAGCCTCTCCCCTCTCTTCTAGATTTTTCAGCTTGTTTTTCACATTAACTGCAGTATCTGACCTGTTTAATAAACTCCTGACCATTAGCCTCTGTGGTTATTTCACTGCCCAGTGAAAACACAGTTTTCCTCAGCAGATAGAATGACAGAGTGTGGCTGTACATGTGAACATGAACAGTTCAGGCAGCAGAGGAAGATGTGAAGAGTAGCAGTAGAGACTGTGTGATTGCTGTTTTCTCAAGGCTCCCTGACTTGAGGAGCCATAATAAGAGCTCTAAGATCTTGAATTCTGTTACTGGTGCAGTGAAGCCAGGGTTAAATCATAACGCTTGGAATTACAACACAGTGACTTCCAGTCCTGTGTGCATTTCCAGGGAAGCTGGAAAAGGAGGTACTTTCAGAGAGGTTGGTGCTCACCTGCACCATCTCATCGACCCTGCCTTGAGTTGGGAGCTAGGACACCAGCAGGTGGAGTCCCCACACCACTTTGTCAGCACTGTTGATTTTCAGACTCAGTGTGAATCCAGCTGCAGGGACCTGGACATAATCCTTTAACAACAGGTTCAAGGGTTGCAGGAACAACAAGTTCAAGGGTTGCAGGAGCAACAAGCTCAAGGGTTGCAGAAGAGCAAGATGTCAAGTGAGAACTTGTTTGATTCATCTCATGCAGCCCCCCCAGCTCTTCTGGCCTCTAGGGAGGACATGCCAACCATTTTTCCCTCTTCAGTAGAAGATGGTAAGAGGGAAGGAGGTCTCTTCCTTGGTTAAAGTTATCATCATAGAATCATAGGATGGTTTGGGTTGGAAGGGACCTTACAGAACAGCTAGTTCCAACCTCCCTGCCAGATTCCACTCACTAAACCAGGTTGCTCCAAGAATTATTAATGAAGAAATGCTCAAAGAATTATTACTAGTGCTTCAATATGTATCCCAAGATCTCATTGCCAGCTCATAGGTTTTGTAGCTCAGAGCTTCAGCATAGCTGGAAGATGGAAAGTAAACTTTATTCCCTGAGAACTAAACTACCTTCTAGTTTTCCTTTATCTCTTTTTCCCACTGTGGTCTTCACTTTCAAGTTTGGAGGCTTGCTCAGAGACAGTGCCTACAATGATGCTTGTATCAAGAGAATGCTTGACAGTGTGAGCTGTAGAATATGATTCTGAATGTTTGTGATCTTTTAATGCTTGTGACAAGTTAGCTGGAAGGCCCAGGATTCTGGATGAATAAATGCATTTAAATGCCAGATCTTTGCATCTGATGGATTTCAGGTCTTCACATCCTGAATCCTCAGGCCTTGGATCTAGCTGACGTGCAGCCATCACCTTTAAGGCCTTTACAATGCTCACTGATGCAATTCAATGCAGCATTTGTACAATAGAATTATGTAACAAGACAGGAAAAAAACCTATATGGGAAGAAGCTGCAGATTCTCATGCATCAGCATGTAAAAGTGTTTTCAATTTAATTACTCCATATCTTGTCTTGAGCCCTAAGAGTGCATAAACACTGATGCTATAGTCTGTTTAAGGACACATAAACTGCCTGTTCTCTAACAAATATTTGGAGTAACTCTTGTATATTTTGTATTAATCTTGTTAAAAGGCCTTTCATAGATGGTTGTCACATTCCTATATGGCAAGAGGAAAAGGTTCTCCTAATGGTAAAAAACAGCAAATCTGTGACCTCTGTAAAGAAGGCAGTTCTGAAGTACCCCCAAAGCCAGACCTTGCTCCATGTCCTCCAAGTTTTTTCTTATGCAAGATCAATTTTTCTGAGACAGAGGAGAAAAGCCATTATTTTTTTCCATCTACCCAACTTTGCTTAGGCTGCTTCAGATAGCCGTGCAGAAAGGGACAAAGAATTAAATTTTGGAACCACCACATGATGATCAGAACTTGCTGAAGGCAGAATGGTAAAAATTGGAGAAACTCTGCACTGAACACCCAGTGCACATTCAGTCATTGCAGTGAGGGGAGCATGAGTACCTCAGTTCTTAGGGAGAGGGAACAGGAAATTAAAGGGAGAATCAAACAGCAGATTAAAAGTGAGATTACTGACACAAGAGAATTCATCTGAACAACCTAACTGCCCTGATTTTGAGTAAGCTTTTGTCAGCCAGGCTGTGAGGTGTTCAGGGCAGCCAGAGAAGCATATATGGCAAAATCTAACTGCTGTGAAGGTGGATATTTGCTCAAAGTGAATGTATATACAAAAAAAACCAAAACATATTTATATGAGTACTTCAGTTTAAAATTCAAGGCATTTACTTCTAAATTGATATTTGCTCAAAGTGAGTGTATATACAAAAAAATTACATATTTATATGAATACTTCAGTTTAAAATTCAAGCCATATACTTCTAAATTGTGTACTTTTAAATAAGAAGTAGGAGTCAATGACTACAATGTTAATGTTGCTGTGCCCATGTATTTCACAGGGTCTAGTAAGGAGGAGACAAACACATTACCCTTAGTATATACAGGCCCTCATGAAGTAAATTGGTGTATGTTTAAATGGCTTCACACTCTGGGGAGGAGAGTGAATAAAACCACATTTGGAAGTGTGTGAGCAGCAGGAGGGAAGCATGTGTGCCTCCAAAGAGGTAAAAGTTTATCTCTCCAATATGTGCTAGACTAAGATACCAGAGATCTGGCTTTGTTTTGTGTCTGTAATCTAAACATTATTATGTCACTATCACCAGACAGGAGTATGTAAGTTCTATGCTTTTAACAGAAAGGGATTTCCACACATCCTGCATCTACCTTGCCTGTTGTTACATGTTTGAAGCACAGTAACAAACACGCAAAGTCCTTTTGAACTCGGTTAAATCAGAGCTCCTATGTGATAAAAAGGCCCTAGGGGTCCTTTGCTGCAAACTGAGTTTGACTCATCTATCCTCCACCTTCCAGTACTATTCTGTGATGCCCCCACCATAAGGGTTCCACAGAGGTCTTGCATTTTAGCTTACTCAGAGACTAGTCCCCTGCTTTATATTTTTTCTGTAAGTTCCTATTTCAGTAACTATCATTTTTTCTTCCTTTCTAGGCTTGGACAACCTGTGCAGGTTTGGCAGCAATGGCCCCAGTGGTATTCTGCAGGGAGAAGGATGCCTTGGAAGTGAAGGATTGAGGGCATGAGCAGTGCAGGAGTGCCCTCTTTCTGCAGCAGTTATGTTGCACCGAGCCCGGCACCTCTGTGGGAAGTGGTGCCGTTGGTCCAGCCCTTTCATCCATCTCCTCACTCTGACTGTGGTGACTTTTGGTGTGCTGGCACCTTTGATCTGCCACCGGTTCCTCCACTCTTACTTCTACCTGCGGCACTGGCACCTGAATCCCATGAGCCGGGAGTTCCTGGAGCTGAACCAGCAGGAAGGCCAGGATGCCCTCCATTACTTTGAGACGATGCAGATGCCAAATGCCTCTGAGGCCTCTGGCAGTGACACCTTCCAGCCCTTGCTGCTGATCACCATTATCACTGTGCAGAGGCGGAATGATTTCCACTACGTCTTGCAAGTGGCCTCCCACTTCCACCGCCTCCTCCAGAAATGTGGGGCGCGTTGTCAGAGCCACCGAATGCTCCTCTGTAACGTGGAGTCAGACCCCAGCAGCCATCAGGATGTCAGGCTGCTGAGCAGACTCTTTCCTATGGTCAGTCGTGACAGAACTGGAAAGAATCCTGACCCCAGCCTGAACCAATTTGAGAAGGAGAAGCAGGACTACGTCTTCTGCCTGGAGCAGTCACTGTTAGTGTACAACCCAGAGTACGTCCTCCTTGTGGAAGATGATGCTGTGCCAGAGGAGGAGATATTTTCTGTCTTGCAGCACCTCTTCTCGGCCCGGTTCTCCAAGCCCTACCTCAGAGATGCTCTCTACTTCAAACTGTACCATCCCGAGAGGCTCCAGCGCTACTTCAACCCTGAGCCCATGAGGATCCTGGAGTGGCTGGGCCTGGGCATGTTCCTGGGGCCAGTGTTGAGCTGTGCATACTGCTGGGCTGCGGGGCGGGCGGGCCCCAGCTGGTGCCTGGTGGCGTTCTTCGCCCTTTACAGCATGGCCCTGTCAGAGCTGGTGGGACGGCACTACGGGCTGGAGCTGCGCCGCCTGCACCCGGCGCTCTACAACGTGGTGCCAGCCAGCGAGTGCTGCACGCCTGCCATGCTCTTCCCCGCTGCCTCTGCCCGCCGGGCCTTGGGATACCTGCGGGGGCTGCGCTGCCGCCGGGGCTTTGCCAAGGACACGGCCCTCTACTCGCTGCTGCGGGGCAAGGGCGAGAATGCCTTCGTGGTGGAGCCCAACCTGGTGCGGCACGTGGGGATGTACTCCAGCCTCCGACTGAACAGCGACCCAAAACTGCTGTGAGCTGCTCCTGCCTTGCCGCACAAACAACGCCCAGGGCACTCTACCATGGGGCAGAGGGACAGTGTGCAAACTTGGATTCTGTGCTGCTTGCACCTGACATCCCGTCTCTCCACGTGGGCAAAGAATAACTCTCTCTAAAAGCACAAGTTTTCTTAAAAAATCAGCTTTTGTTCATGGAGACCCTATTTAATACAAACTTGGAACTAATCACCATACACCACCTGGGAGGGGAGTGGAGGATTCCAGCTCACTCTCCTTAGCCATTTGCCAAAGAAATGCTCTCACACCAACATGAACAACTTTCCTGCCTACTCTCCTGGACAGTGGTTAAAAAATCCTCACCTTAGGGCAGCAGAAATGTTGGACAAAGTCAATGTTTCAAATTAGCTAATGAGGAGCAGAAGGCCTTATTTCCTCATCCTTACTAAGGTCTCATCTCTGACCTATCTCTATTCCAAAGCTGTGGTTTTGAGCAGACCCTTCAAAAGCAGAAGTGGTTTGCAGGAACTTTTCCACACATTCTGCCTAGATACTTCAGAGTTTTGAAGTCTCTTTAATTACTGTCTCCTTATCTGCACTTCCACCATTCCCACTTCTTTTGCTTTGACCACAGGCTCTTAAAAACAAAACCTCTGCTGCTTCATTAAAGGTTACCTCTCAGAGTAGGGATAGGAAAACAGAATCACAGCCACTGGTGTCACACAGATGGGTCACAAATGCACATTTTCTTTGATACACAACACACATTGCACACAATGATTGCTGTGTTGGTTGGGATCATCACTTGTACTGGATCCATTTCAGGAGGACTTGTCAGCCACTGAGTGAACTTAGACATTCAACATGAATTTACCTTGATTTTCCCTCAGCACATAGGCAACGAAAAGATTAGATCAGGTGCTGTTGTTGTGTAGGATCCTTGCTCATTCTGGAGCTGTAATTCACAGCTCAGCTGGAGTGGTTCATTCAACTGCCCCTGGCAGAAAGCAAAATACCTGTGGGAAACAAAGACAGCTGTTCACATTAACAAGCAACAATAGCACAGCACATCAAGGGGCTACTCTGACCGTGACCATGTCTCCTGGTTGTTAGGCATCTGGGATAGGTATTTTGCACGAGGGCTGTGGGCACAGCTAGATAAAACCTTGCAGATGACAAGAGACCTCATACTGAATGAAAACAGGCATAAATTTGGTGTATCTGATTAAAAGCCCGCTTTAGCTTTAGTTAGCTTTGAATAAAATTCACCTTGAGGTGGCATTTGGTTGAACTATTCTTAAAACCATATTCCTTGCTTTGGAATGAACCAAGAAAATATTTTTTGTTAAGTTTAATCAGGAGGAGTTGCTTCATTTTTTCTTTTTGGTAATAGACAGGCTCTAGTTTGAATTTTTTCTCCTAGTTCTCGCCCAGGTGATTTATGCCTTAAGCTCTTAACAAGTCTGATTGTAGGTGAGAAATACCTAAAGCTCTTGAGAGATGAAACCAAAGCAAATGGCAACTCTCCTCCTGTCAGCATGGTGGGTATCAGTTACACAACACAGATGCACAGTGCAGGTTATCACAGCAGTGCTTTGATATCCAGTAATCAGCTGGATACCTTCAGAACATCTCTGGAAATTAGAGTGAATAAAAACTGCTTGTGGGTTCCATGCCATTCCAAAGGCAAGGCCTTCCGGCCTCCAGGTAGAGGACACCAGGCAAATGGCACAGGCAAAACCAGATTTTGTTCCCAGCCACTGTAAGCTCTGGAGATGCCAGGGTAGTCACACACTGGCAGGTTGGCAAATCTGTCCTCTGGGTTTACTGAGCGGGGTTTGCGTGTCAGGATTTGAGTGTCACTGTGCATTTATTCCACCAAGTGCCTGCACATACAACTGGTTTCTGTATCTTCAGCTGTGAATGTTTCAGTGCTTGCTCTTCTCTCTTTTAGATGTATGTACTGTAAAAATCCAGGACAGTGCTCTGTTCTTTCCATTCATACTAATTCTTGCAAAGAAAATCTCACAGCAAGAAATGGGACAGGCAATGGAAAAAGGAGAAGGAGAAGGAGAAGGAGAAGGAGAAGGAGAAGGAGAAGGAGAAGGAGAAGGAGAAGGAGAAGGAAGAAAGGAAAGAAGAAAGGAAGAAAGGAAGAAAGGAAGAAAGGAAGAAAGGAAGAAAGGAAGAAAGGGAAAGAAAAAAAGAAAAGAAAGAAAAGAAAGAAAAGAAAGAAAGAAAGAAAGAAAGAAAGAAAGAAAGAAAGAAAGAAAGAAAGAAAGCTGTATCCAGTTAATAAATGTTTTGATCCGAGGAAATGATTTATCCAATTGTCTCAAAGTTATTTCCTGTTTGTTCAGTAGGACTTAATTTGGCATTTCAAAAGTCCAGAAGATGTCAATAATTTCACTGAGCCTTGTAACTGAAAATTGAGAACATGAATTTGAGGCATCCTTTCTAAACTAGAAGACAATTTTCATGGCATAAGAAGTGACAGAATTTGACTGTGAGACCAAACAATGTGCAGAGGGCCTAGGGCTTGAGCTTGCCCGTGTGAGAGTTTCAGATAGACCAGCTGAGCACGAACTCCTTTGTGCAAAAAGCAGGTTAATAAATTCTTCTATGTTCTTCTGGGACAATTTCCTAAAGTGCTCAACTCACCTTCACAACAGAAGTGCTGCTTTGCTGAGCCTGCAGGGAGCTGTTCAGAGTTACTCAGGTACTTGCACAGTGCCCACCCTGCCAATGGGGCATCCCAAGAAACGGCTCCTGCTGCTGCCTTCCAATCTTCCAGAAGCAGATTGAGTCCTGTTTCTCTTTTCGGCGTTCCATGTTTTAGTAGAAATTAGAAGTCAGAGAAGTGCACATCACCCTCAGAACAGAGAATTGGAAGATACCATGAATTCTTAATTCCTGTTGGATTTTCTTGTGCAGTTCAGGCTAAAAATGCAGCATTAAAACACCCCAAAGCCTTTCCTATCTCTTTTCTCTGAGGGGAGTGGAGCTGAGTTGCTCGATCTCAGACTACAGAAATTCAAAGCATGATATTACATCCCTGAAATGTGGCCTTAAGAGCTTGGTTTCTTTCACTTTAAAACAAACTTAGTGACTATTTTTAAACAAACAGTATGGATTTGCTTGGGTGTTGTTTCATTCCCAATAGTTTGGAGACTTCTTCAATGCAGCAGCTGCTGCTTGCACAAGAGGAGTCTTTCTTAATGGGCATCAGCAGGACCCAAGACTTTATTGTCCAAGACAGTTCAGGGGGAGTTACTAACTTAAACACAAACTACATTTGTTTCCAAAGTGTGTCCAACATAACCATGATGCAGGCAGAACACAGGGCATAAACTGACAGGTCTCTACTAGATTAGAAACCCATGAGGATTTTCTAACTCCAGTAGGTATCAATGTCTTACTGAGAAGGCACTGCATTTGAAGAGAGAAAAGCCTTCCTTCCTGTGGTGAGGAGCTGTGAGTCACCAGATGGGGTATTTCAGCAGCAATTTGTCTGGATACAGACTGAATTGTTTGGTGGGTTTTTTTGGTTTGGTGGTTTTTTTGGTGTTTTTTGTTTTTTTTTTTAACTAAATTTATTTACAAGCAAACTTTCCACAAAATAAAAACCTTTATGTAAAGACACTATTAATAGTCTCTTCTTCCTGTGTCCTGCTCTTTGTTTTCCTGATTGGCAGATCCATCTTTCCTTACCATATTTGACAAAGGATACTCCCACGTTCATGTGTTGGCACAGATGTTACAATTTTGATCCAATTGCACTCAAAGCAGGTCTTATTAGACCAGGTTTCTCAGGCCCTTCTCCAATCAAAATAAAGGTATTTTAACATGGACCTGAAGTAAATTGCAGCTCTGAGTGGTGGAATTTAACCTTGGCTTACTTTTGTATAGAGAGGGTACATATTTCACAAAATTAAAAATGTAATTTTTCAACTGTGACAGACAGTTGCAGTTACAAAGGCATGGGTAGTTTCTCTCCCAAAGTCAGAGTTTCATTTTCTGTATTTTCACACCAGCTTTACAGACATCGTATCCAAATTCAGCAGATGGCAGGTCCCAACATGTGGCTCTGAATAATCTTCAGTAAAACATAAACCTGCCAAAAATGCATAGAAAATTAGGTACTCCATGGCCTGTGCTTCTTCACTGCATGTCTCCATTCTGGAGTAACTTCATTTCCACTCATTATCTGTCCTGACAGCTTTGGGAGAATCCACCCCACCAGCCAGTTTATTCATGTAACTACAGGCTAATAGTCAGCAACATCAGTGTCCCTTCCCATGACTTTGTTCTTCATGGCAAGCTAGGAATGCCATGTTGGTGTCTAGGAAGCTAGGAACAACAGCGATTTTTAAATGTTGATGAAGAGTTACATTTTATTGTTCTGTTTGTAAGCCTCTGTGCATCTGTGCCTATTTTCTCTTCAAATTTCTGCCTTGGTGTCCAGTGTTCCTGGACATGAACCACATCTACAAATGGTCCTTTCAGCAAGCTTGTCCAGTTCAGACACCTGCTGTGGTTTGTATTTTGCAAACTTCATACAAATATTATCATGCAGCACCTAATTGTGCTTTTTTTGGGTAGGATGTGCTGTTCAGATAAACAGATAATAAACAGTTAAATGTCTGCCTTTATAGAGCCCAGGTGTTTGCCTTCTTGCTTTATTTAAAAACAAAATGTCAACAGAAAGGTACAGAGACCAGTGTCATTACAGCATTTACCTTCATGTCCTGTTACAGCTGTTTCTCACAGCCCAGAAAAGTTGCCACAGGCAGCTCAGTTTACAATTGTATCCTTGTTTGCTATACCCACTATAAAAATTAGTGCAAAGATCTGTGTTTTGATAACAGCAGTGTTGCATGCTTGCCTGCTTTTCATTCCAGGTCATGATGATTGCTGTAGCCCAGCTTTAAGTTGCACAGAATGCAGAACTAAGTAAACCCTTCCTTGTGCAATCTCCTTGGTGGTCTGAGTCTCTTCTGCCCAACATCCCCCAGCCCACCCAATGTACTTGTCTGCAGACTCTGCTGTGGAGCCAAAAATACAGGGGCATTTCTTCCAGTGGGGTTAAACAGCCAGGCTCTTCATATTGGGGGTGAGGGCTGTAGGTGACTGGGGAAAACAAACCACTTAATAAACAATACCTCTGATTAGATAGGGATGAACAAGCTGGACTTTGAGATGGTTAAGCAAGACTGCAGAGTACAGACAACAGGAAACGTCCAGCACAGTGTGGGGAGGTGGTTAGGAGGCAGACTCCACTCTGCTCGAACCTGCCCAGATTAGACTTTAACCCCATCACGCAGGCAGCAGCCTCATGGGGCAACAGAGCCAGGTGTTTTTCATGTGGATGCATATTATTTTTGGACATCTTTCCAACTCCCAGTGTTTTTTTCCATTGTATTTCAATCCATTTTACAGGTCTGACCAAATCCAAAAGTACAATTTTATTTACTTAAGTGCAGAGAGAAGCTTTATATTGGTAATTTTTCTTGTGGTGACCATATAATCTCTGAAGTTGCTTCATCTATTTGTTTTTCATCATTCTTTTTGAGGTGTACTACAATTTATCTCTCTCACATTTACTTATTTTTTTATTTAAGATGCTAGGTCGTTTGAGCAGTTAAAGGCAAAACATGAGAATTATACTGCTAGACAAAGACAATAAAAATCACAATCTGGAAAATCATAAGCAATTACAATATTTATATCTATCTTTAAAACAAGCTTTCTGTTGATTTTAATATATTTTATCCAGCAAGACTTCACCTAAAACTTAAGTGCACAACTATCAGGTCCTTTGACAGCAAGGCTGGATATAACAAAGACAGCAATTAAATTGTTAAATTCCAAAAAACCCACGAATTAAGGCCAAAGTAATAACCCATGCCACATGTAAATAGAGTTTTCAATGGTCCTTAATATTTTTAAATGCATACTTCTGTCAACTTCTATATGGGGATTTCAGATGAGAAAGTTGACACTAATAAAGGCTCCAAGCCATTCAAATAGAAAATTCACTTATGTCATAACACATTTCTTGTGTTTTAATCAATCTCTTTTATAGCTAACTACTGCTTTCTGTTTCTATGCTATAAAAGGCACGACAATGAACATTTAAGCTCTGCAACTAGTTATGCATCTTGTTTACAGTGATGTTTCAAACACAGCTATAAAGTTTTTTATATTGCAAGACTGTTTATATCAACTCTTTCATGAACACATAAAAAAGCCACAATATGTGCAGAGCTCCCCCTGTATTTAAGCAATCAATTCTCAGACATCCAAAACTCAAAACCAGCAAGTAATAATTTCTCTAATAAATTATTATACTCTTCACTAAAAAAATGTATCAGCAATCACTGCAATAGTCTGCATAACCATTTTTAAGAATACAAAAACCTGAGAGTAGCTGTTGTTTAGTGCAATTGACCTCCCTTCTTGTTCACCCTATCCTTATCCTTGACTGGGATCTTTGTCCTGGGTCCTCCTTCCCATGCCAGAAGCTGAAGGGGATGAGGAAACCCAAGGATGCAGAGGAGAGATGGTTCAACCTCTGAAACTGAACTCCCACTGGGAGCCCTGCCTGCATGGCCACTGGAAAGGTGTGAGAGTTACCAGGTCTGAGTTCAAACACTACCTCCATGAGACAGAATTACAGCTTGGATAATACACCAATTTTAGCATGGAATAGTTAGTGCAGGCAGTGATTTGGTGCTTTTTATGTACCAGGTTAGTTGTTTGGTAAATTGCAGTTAACTTGCTTCCCCCTTCTTGTTGCAGGTTTTTCCTCTTACTATTATTATTAAAGAAACCATACTACTATAGCCGCATTTTAAGAGGTCCAAGTATCCCCAAAGTATGATTGCGTGTGATGGAAGTATGTACTCTTTTTCACTGTCATTTTAATATCACTGTTATTTCTGCACAGTATGGTCAGTGTGATAGGTCTGCATGCTAACATCTTTCAGAGACATCATCTACTATGATTCTTCATTCCATTTTCTGACCTGAAAAGGCTCCCATTCCTAAATTAAGTGAAAAAGATAAGCATCTTGTATATTTTCCTTTTTTTCCCTGTGTCCTCAAAATATCTGTGAGGACCTGTAATCCTGTGCTCGGAGTGCTGGATCGAAGGGTTAGAAGGCCTGGAAAGGCACATACCAGCAATTATCCATCTGGAAATACATTTATATGCTTCTGAAGAGTTCAGAATGCAAGGTGGGCTGTGGAGAATTATTAAAAGTGCATCAAAATGTCTGACACTGCTTTTTTTTTCAAGAAGACTCCCAAAGATTTTCTCTAATAGCCTGTGAGACCATATCACAGATGAGATTGAGAATAAAACACTTCCAAGAACTAACCTCCTGTGTCAGCTTCTAGCCAAACCAGGAACAACAGGATTCAAATTATGACTCTGAAGAAGACCACCATTATGGCACCTTCTTGGTCTCAAGAGAGTCTTAGATAAGATATTTAATGAAAAATATTTTTAATCTATATTAGATGCTTCTGTTGTGGTAATGAAACTTTAATACACCATGGTGTTTGTCTTTCTGCTAGGATGGGAGAAATGGAATGTAAAGCAAACACTGTAAAGCAGGGAAGGATTTATGTCCATGTTATGTGCTACAGCTTCTTTCAGCAAACAACACAGAACAGGAAGGGCAGCATGGAGGAAAACAGAGGAACACAAGCACGAGGTTTTGACTGGACTGCACTGTCAGCTCCTTCAGGTTTCTCTGCTGACTGGCAGCCCGGTAGGCTCCTAAGGTTTCCTACAAGCACTGCCCTTGGCATGCAGCTGCACAAGAGCGGCTCAAGGAGGAAGACAGTGTTGTGGAGAGAGAAATCAGGGTCTCACCTGTCCATGTAAAGGCCAAAGTGTCACTGCAGCAGCCAAACAAACGGAGGAATGACGTCATTCTTCAGACAAACACTAGGTCTCTGTGGTAAAAAGGTGCCAATGTCCAAGGTTGCTGAGGGTATGATGTTTGTCCAGCAGTCCTTGTGCTATACTTCCCTCCAGGAGTACTGGCCTGCAGGATGTGGAGAAATAAATTAAAGCAAATAATCAAACCTATAGGCCTAGAGTTGGTGAATGACTGTAGTGTGGATTCATATAAACTGCAACACTGATACACCATTTATACAGCATAAGTGTTTTTCACTGAAAACTTCTGCTAAGCAACAGAGAAGTTTGCATATCACCACAATGTGGGTGGGCATCTCAGTGGGATTTGGGGGGAAACCTGGCTTGCAGCTGTGCACCTCAAAGTGGGCATATGTGGTGTGACAACCATTAATTTCCCAGGTACATTGTGTTACAGAAAATCAGAACTTGCATTAAACTTTATAATTATACCTGATACCGTAGGATCACATTTTGCCTTTCCATATACCAACTGGAAAAGGAACACATGGTTTCATGCTAGGGTTTCCAGGGAGGAAAAGCAATGTAACATTTAGGAAGCCCCTGAAATGATATCACCTCATGCAGTTAAGGATCTGTTGCATTGTTTCTGCATTTTGTTTTCTGCTCTTTCTTCCTGCAATTTCCTAAGTATAAGCTTTCAGAAGACCTAACTCTAAATTATAAAGCTGTGCCCAAGATACCTGTAAGCAATTTCCATAGTTTCTCTTGTACTTCTTTTTAGTCTGTTTCAGAAAGAGGAGAAATAATTTGAAATAACTGGAAAACATCTCAGTTTTACTGGATGAATGACCTTATATATACAGGGGAGGGGAAAGGGGAGGAACAGCAGAAGCATGACCAAGTCCCATTGGAGGTGTGTGGTGGTGGTCTGATAGCCAATGACTGACCTTGAGCAGTGACATGTCCCCTGACAGTTTGTGGGGGAGGAGAGACAACAAAAGAGTGGAGGCGGGGGGTAGAAAGCCCCACCAAGAATTTTATAAAAGTTAGTGATTAGAAGGACTGGATCTCTTTGCCTGCAAACACCTCACCAGAAGCTTGTAGCAGCAGAGACACTGCCCACAAACAAGTAAGTATAATAATTTAATTTCTAAACTTTAAAGCTAGTACATATATCAGCAGCTGTGACCTGGTATGTTTATCTACAATGGGAAATTTGTTTTTGGTTTTAATTTTGTTTCAGGAACAGCTTGTGAGAAATAAGCGCTGAGCCATTCTGCAGTGGTCTTCTAAAATTATCCATTTGCTGCTAACACTGGCTTTCTAACTTAAGCTTATTCACTCAGAACTCCTGGAGTGCATAAGTGAATCCTCTGCCTAAGGGGACTAGTGCAATAACATACCTGCATTGCTTTCTGTTGCTTTGTTTCGTGTTTGTTTTTAAATTTCTGTTTTGCAAGGAGAACAGAGAATGACTGGAGAAAGCAGCTGGTCCTGACAAACATCAGTGCTGACAGAAGTGCAATTGTGCGTGCTTGTTGTACAGCTTCTTCTGATAAGATTATTTGGCAAGGGGGTATAAGGTCTGCAGGGCAAGAAAGCAAAGCCTATTCTTGCTTCTGTATGCTGTAACATTTCAAGCTGTGTACAGCCAGCTTCAGGAAATTGCTTGACCAACTCAAATCTTCACTGATTCTGTGATCCTCCATCACTCAACTATCCTATGTGCATACCCAAAACTATTTAGTCTACCTGAGACTCACCACTGCTTCCCCCACCCTCCCCTGATGGCAGTACAAGACTTGAATTCAAGTCTAACCACAAATTTTTGCCTTCTCTGAGAAAAGTCCAGCCCTGAAAGAGAAGTAGCTTCTCCCTAATAACACTTGCTTCCAAGCAATAATCTTGCCACCTTAGCCAAATCTAGCCATTCTGAGTGCTCTGCACTGACTGCAGAGGACAGGTCTCTGAACATAACCTCCTTTCGCAGTTGATAGAGTAATGAAATAGGGATACATTTGCTCAGGGCTCTGAGGTTAACATGGGAATCAGCACAGGGAACTTCAGATCTGCAGTTCCACCTGCAACAGCAGGTTGAATCAAAGTCTCTAGACAGAACATGAGGATGGTAAAAAAACTCAGAGAGCAAAAAAACAACCAAGCAATTTACAATCATATATGCCCCAAAGGACTGATGAGATGGTGACATTAGCATGTCAATCAAAAACATCTACCCCTTTTTCTAGGTGACAGAAGTCTGAGTATCTCCTTTTGTCTCAAACCCTTGAGACTTTTTAGAATCCAGAAATTAAATATATTGCTGACCCAATACCTTCATCTCAGTGCAAAGATAATGGGAAGCATGTTCTGTTCTTTCCTGAGAGCTCTTTCATAGATGTGAAGAGGTACCACTTCCACCTTGACTCCTTAAAACAGGTACTCACTGAGAGTCACAGGGTAATTCAGGCTGAAAGGGACACAGGAAGTCTGTAGTCCAAGCACCCCTTGCCTAAAGCAGAGTTAGACATGAGGTCAGACCAAGGTGCTCAGTTCTTTATTCAGGTGCATCTTGGCAGCCTGCAAGGATGGAGACACTGCAGCCTTTTTTGTCAATCTGTTACATTGCTTGGCTGTCCTAGTAATGAAAAAAAAGCCTGTAATGCTTTGGATTGGATTCTTCATATCCAGTCTTAATCGCCTTTGTTTCAGCTTGTGCCTGTTGTCTCTCACTGTCCCGTCCCAGCTGCTGTGAAAAGCCCAGCTCTGCCTCTTCAATCACACTCTGTAGGTACTGAGGACTGCTGAGAGTTGTCCCTCAAGCCATTGCTGCTTGAGGCTGAACTAGACCTCTCTGCAGACTTCTCCTCACAGAGGAAGTGCTGCAGCCACTGACCTTTTTGGTAGCATCTATTGAACTAACTCACTTCAGTCTGTCAGTACTTTTCCTGTACTGCAGGGGCCCAACACTGCATGCAGTATTCAGATGTTAATTATGGAGTGCTGTGCAAGGGGGGATAAAGCCATCTTCTCCCCTGGCTTTCCAGGCCAGACCCCTGCTCACACAGGATGCTTGGACCCTTGCTGCTGGCCCTGTTCATCTTGCTACCTGACAGGGCCTTAGGCCATCCCCAAAGAGCTGTTCCCTCATCCCACCAGTCCTGGGGAATGGCTGCCAGTGCTCTGCACCTCAGGCAATGTCTGGGCATCTGTCTTGGCCAGACTGCACGGTGCTCTTGTTGGCCTCTTCCCACTCCCATGTCCAGGCTTCCCTGGATGGCTGCCCATCAATCAGACATATCAAGTAGTCCTGCCAGCTGTGTGTCTTCTGCCACCTAGGTAAGAATGTACTCTGTCAGCTGGATAAGGCTGGACTTGCCCAGCCATTCATACCCATCTGTTTGCCCCACGCCCAAGGAACCAGACTTATTTAGAAACAGCTTTTTAATGGAGGTCCTTACAAAGAACTGAGGTCAGTAACCACAGATGTCCCCTGCAGAGAATATAAGGTGCCTACGTCATCATGTGTCTGCCTCTTCTAAGCATGTAAGTGTAAAAGAGAAGTAAATTCAGTCATGTCAACACTGTGCCTTCATGTGATAGGTTAAAGTTTGAATAATTTTCATTGTCTCTAACAACTGTATTTATCTGTTTATATATTCAGCTGCTTCTTCTTCAAACCTTGTTCTTTGGAAGCAAATTTCTTGTGTGCAGAGTTTGTATTGCTGACTGTTAAGAGAGGATGCTGAAGGGCGGTATTTACTAGTAATTGATCAGGAAAAAAATTACACATGTGGGATACAAGCTGTAGTTTAAAACTTTGGTGCTGTACTTTTGGATCCAATTTTACAAAATAAGGCAGTGCAGAGACCCAAGAGAAAAACTTAGATATTCTGATTCAGTCTTGTCCCATCTGCAAACTGGGACTCAGGTGAGATTTTATGTAAGATCAGAAGATACCAGTCACATGAGGTTCTTGAAAAGAAAATATGCCAATGATGTATTGAAGTTTCTAAGATGACTGGAAGCAAAATGTAACATTGTTCCTTCTGCTATTCATCTTGACTCTGCTCTTTGGTTCTCACTATTAACAGGAGCAAGTGCTTGTGCTGCCATAATGCATTTCCCCTCAGCCCTTCTTTCTTTATGGTAGCTGAGAGAAACCCAAGATCTCAGCATTACAATATTTACTTTTACAGCTGTGCTGTCCTCTGTTTCTACACCCCCATCTCCTGCTGGGCAGAGGATGGAGGCTGAATAAATAAATTAGATTGCTTAAGGAGCTATTGAAGCCTGATAAGTGCTCCAGGTAGCTAAAAAGCTGGAATGGGGGGTGGGTGGGGGTGGGGTTGTGCAGTTTTATTCTTTTGAGGTTCTTTTATAATTCTACTTAAAAAAAAAAAAAAAGTAAGCAGATACTACAAAGAGACTGCATTACATTCATACAATGTAAAATCAGTGTGAAATCACTTGAGCTTATGACACTTAGCCCACAGCCTGTGGGTAAATAAAAATAAAGCTTCTTGAAACACCTTGGAGGGACAACTCCCAGTTACTGTTACTGAGATCACAATTCATTAGAACTTTTTTCTTTCTGGAAAAGTTGTCAATTTAAACAGATAAATCAGATTAAGACAAATAGGCTTCATTCTTGGAAGACTGAAATGAGCTTTGCAGCTTTGGCAGCCTAAGCAGAACTGTTTTTTCTCAGGACTTGTGAGGTGACATATCCAGATTGAGGGGATATGAAAATGGTAAAATTAATGCTTTTATGGATGTGCTGAGAGTTTATTCTTTACAATAGTGGCTTAATGAAATGTTACTGAAGTGTAAGACTTTTCCACTCCTCTTGTGCCTGCTCCTTTGCTCAGAGCAGGACCTTGAGCAGATACACCCTTTCTGAATGCAGACATGAAGATTGTCAGAAATTATTATTCTCATGAAAGAATCACAGAAAAAAAAAAAAATCCTAAATCAAGAGTTCTAGAACATTCTGCACCTTTGAGCTATTACAAGGTTTACAATTGTTCTTTTGTCCTAATTTCTTCACCATTTCAGCTAGAAACGCTGTGCCTTTTATTTGTCCCTGTAGCTCAGCAGAGTATCTGGGAACCACTCACCATGGCCTTAAAGATAATTTTGGGGAGACTTTGGGCAGATCTCCACCTGCTCCTCTACACTCAGTGAGATACTTGCATATAAATTGGAACTAATTTGCTGTCTTCCAGTTCATCACTTTGTTGTTTCAGTCTCTCAGAGTTTTCACTTGGAATAGCATTATTCACTGAAAACTCATATTTCTGTATCTTGAAAATTTGCCTTGCAAGCTGGTTTTGAGTGATAAGTGTCCCCTTGTTATCTTTAGGCAAACATTTGGAACAAGTAAGAAAGAGCAGACATTAGCCTCATTGTTTATTGCCTTGCTGGAAAGAAAGTGTACCCATCATAACATGACTGGAGCAACTGGTGATCTTGCAGTCTGGCCAGCTGAATTCAAGGTTACCTGGATACACCTCCTGGTGCTGTAACACAGCTCCAAACTGCAACTCTAAAATTTCACCCCTGATTTAGCAGTTAATTAACTCTGACCTTAGACACAATCTTATTCTTGCTATAGCACAATTTTCCAATCTTGTCCACGAGGCTCTAAACTACTAGAGTGACTCCTTATAATTTTGCATAACAACTTATTTAACAATAGTGTGGTTTTAACTGAGGTGCTCATCACCAAGCTATTATTACAGCAATCATAGTAACAAACCAGTTTTCTCTTTTTAAGACATATCCAACACAGAAAGCAGGTGAGGGATAAGGAGAGTTG